CTTCTTCTCCTACTCTGTTTCTCCATCCTCCCAAGACATCCCTCTCTAAGGAATAGTCCCTCCTTACAACATGTCCAAAGTATGTCAGATGAAGCTTCAGAATCCTTGCCTCCAAGGAGCAGCCTGGTTTAACTCTCTCTAGGATGAACCTGTTTGTTCTCTTAACAGTCCATAGCATATTCAATACTCTTCTCCAACACAACAGCTCAAAGGCATCAATTCTCCTTCTATCATCCCTAGTCAATATCCAGCTCTCTGATGCATAGCAAGTAATTGCAAAGACCATGGGATCTCTCTCTCTCTCCCTCCATTGGTTTTGATTCTTTAGAGAATTTAACGCAAAACAATACATGTGTTATTTGCATTAAAATATGTCCACATGAATAGCGTGCACATTCATATCATGCACATAGTATACATAGGAAACTTATGTGTGAGAGAGTTGTTCTGTTTGCAAAACAAGACAAAGCCAAACTCAAATATTTGGCCTGAGCTAACTAGCACTGGTAACCTCTGCCAACATTACTTCTAATGGGTCATTAACAAATGCTCATTAGGCGGAAGGAAAAATGTAAATTATTACAATGAGGATCTTCCTTTCCTCTACTTTTTCCCGCTCAGTGACAGACAGACTTTGAGTTCAGAACTGATGTTTGGAAAATGAAAATAAGAACATTCATGAATTATTGAATGACTGAGATCCTACTTCAGGATTTAGACAATAGAACCATCCTATTGAAAGGCTTCTCTTGGGAAAAGTGGTATATTTAGAAGCATAGAACAGAGCTGGCAGCAGCCTTAGAAACAATCTAGTTTAGCATTTTCCAAAGTGTGTTCCAAAAGCTATTCAGATTCACAAGCTTAAAAGAAAGTATTTAGTGGTAAAATAAGTTAGGAAATAATGCACATCCCCAACTTGAAGAGTCATAATTCATATAACATATTAAAGGCTCTGTGAAATCATTCACTAAGGAATCTGCTTAATTTTAGCCTACTAGTTTGCAAACCTATTTGACCTCAGAGCCTTTCCAATTTTAGATAATGTGTGTTAACCAAATTGATGTTTGATAAGACACACACTGAGGGATTGGATCTACTCCCAACTCTTCTTTCTCCATGTGAGGAAGCTCAGGCCTAAAGCAGTTATTTTTCTGTGATCATGGAATGCACAAAACAGGGAATCAAGATTTGGACATTTAGTTCAGAACTATATCCCCCCCTTCACACACACTTATCAGAGGGACTTATCCACACACCAGCTCTGGGGAGCTGTAAGAGTTGCTAACAGACAGGCTACTCAAGGAAAATCATGCTTTGTCAGCTATCCCACCAACATGGAAAGGATTCTTTTCCCCCTGGGTCCTCGAAGCTTGGAGGAATAGAGAAATAGAAAGTTGTGCTAATACTCCTACAACTAACATTATCACAAAGGAAAAATGGGCAGAAGCAAGGGAAAACCTATCACTTAATTTATGCTTGTCCCAAATAATCAGTGTTTGGAGACCAGAGGAAATACTCCAGGACCTTTCATCCTTCCAATATTCTAATTACAGATCATCTCAAAATGATGCCAAGAAAATTTCTATTGCTACAAAACAAATTGTCCCACAACTTAGTGACTTAAAGCAATAAATACTACATATCACACAGGATCTAGAAGGAATTTTAATGTGGTTCTGGTTGTGGTCTCTCATGAGATTGCAGTCCCGAAATGAGCCAGGGATGCAATCATCTGAAGGCTCAAACAGGGCTGGAATGTCTGCTCAAAAAGTGGCTCATTCACAAGCTTTTAAAGTTCTTTTTGACTTATCAGGTTGGCTTCAGTTCCATGCCATGTGGATCGAGAAATACAATGGCTTGCATAGCCTCACAACATGCATTTGGTGGCTGCATTTCCCTATAACGAGTAATGCAAGAGAGAAAGGAAGAAGCCACCACACCTTTTGTGACATAGTCACAGAAGTCACACAATATCACATCCAGCATATTCTGTATTTGTAGGAAGTGTCCAGCCCACACACAAGAGAAGAAAATGTTGTTCTCCTTTTTTGAAGGAGAGAAGGTCAAAGAATCTGTAGATATATTTTAAACCACCATGCTAAGAAAGACTTTCAAAGGACAGTGGGGCTACTTAAACACAACCAAAGAACAAGAAATATTTGTGGAGTAAAAATCCACTTAAGACAATAAGTGCTAAATGGAAACTCTGAAAGAGACCAGGGATTTGAATTTGCATGAAGTCTCAACCTGAATGTTTGGCATAGTTACCCAGGGAATTTCTTGCAATAATGCCTGGAAGAAAACTTCTATTGTTGGCACTGTGATTAGGAGACTAGATGAAGGATTTGAATCAAGGGCAAGCACTTCAGAGAGTACATTCAGTGTTTCAACTTGTATCCTTCCAAGTTAACTTTTTCTTTCTCAAGTCTTTGAATTTTCTAAGTGTTGCAATAGCCCAACATGACCAAAAGGGTCAAATTCCAGCTTTAGTCTTAGATTTTTTTTCCTTCCAAAGGTTTATTCATTTCTCTATGCTGTCTGAAAGCAAGATATCATGATTTAATTGCCCAAGAATTTATTTCCAAATAGATGTTGACAGAGTCTGAAAGTCTAAGAAAGATCAGACAGATCATATTCCCTCCTCTACTCAAGACTTTTTATCATTTTTTAAAAAAACCTCACCAACAGCTCTGATCCCAAAAGAACTTTCCTTTGGCCACCTGGGGTATCCAGTCAGTCAACAAGCATTTCTTGGACATATGATAAAGATATGAGGTTATCTTTGTTCTCTAACATGCATATAATATACTTGGGAGCTAAATAGAAAACAGATGCAGATAAACATAGTAATCATTGAAATGGGATTGAGAGAGAGGAATGAGCTCTATGAGAAGAGTGGGATTTATTAAGGACAATGTCCCATGAAATGTGAGTCTGAACCCGGAACTTACAGCTGGGCTAAATATTAAGGGCCAATCTGCATAAAGACTTGGAGAAGAGAAAAGGAAGACTGAATGTTTAGACTATCAAGGATCTGAGGAAAGGGTGGATAGAATTATGTTGTTGTTAAGTGCTGTTGAGTCATAGACGACTCATAGTGACCCTATGAACGAAAGACCTGAACACTTGTATTACTTTCACTGTTTCTCCACATTCATAGAGTTTCTGGAGGCAAGCTATTCTGGAAGTGGATACCAATCCTGCTTCCAAACTTGTTTTAATCGGGAAGCTCCACCAAACACTGCCCACCATATTATAGTGGCAGCGAAAACTGGAGGGTAGGTCAGGGATGGCAGTCTAGATGAATGTGAATAAAGGATTAATGGCCCATGTAAATCATAGCCTCCTCTAACCTGAGCCCAGAAGAACTAGATAACACATGGCTATTACTACTGAATGGTTGGGCTGGAATGACACAATATACATGCATGAAACACAATTTCTAAAAATGATAGTATGCAAATTATTAAAAACATGAAAAACACCCCAACTCCAAAGATGTCCTATTATTTGGCTAAGGAATAGTTTCTAGGAGTGTCCTGAGTTTCATGTTAGAATGTGGTCTTCCCCCCCTTCTTTTTCAATTTTTTTAATTATTATTTTTATGTGTGTACTGTCAAATCGGATCTAACTGGTACAGGAGGCCATTATTCCTCCTTCTTCAGCAGAGCATCTGGTGGATTTGAACCATGCACCTCTGGGATTGCAGTGGTCTTTTTTAATGTTGTGTTTGTTGTTGTTGTTGTGTACCAGTGAATCAGATCCGACTGGCACAGGAGGCGATTGCCCCGCCTTCTCCAGCAGAGCATCTGGTGGATTCAAAAGAAGGTGTTTTTAAGGGTTCTACTAGTCTCCGTTAGATCATTAAGTCTGTTTCCACACTTTTTAAAAATTTAAATACTGTTTTATATTTTTACTCATTTTAACTTGAGACTTTCTATTGTGGCCTTGTTCAGCATGGAACTGGTAGCTGTAACCTGTACCATTCAGTTCTTCGGGTCTCAGAGTAGAGGAAACTATGGTTCATGTATTGCTGCTAGAAACAAATTATATTTATAACTCATATAATATATGCCCTAAGTAGTGATGGGAATTCTTTAATGATAAACTTGGAACCCCAAACATTTGTATTTATGGAAATTTGTATATAGCTAGTTCAATAACAATGGACACAAGATGTAAAATGCAATGCTAATCAAGGCATTTCCCAGCTGTCAGTAGACCAATCCTTTAATTAATTTCACATGATGAACCTTGGACATAGGGAGGGACTGACCTGAAGTCATTTGACAATGTAGATGACAAGTCAGGGCTACTCCAATCTGCTGGCTCTAAGTCCATGCTCCTTTATTAAGCTAGTTGTAACATAACCCTCCAAATGAGTGCAGATTGTCATCTCCCTCCGCAAGAGGCTGCTGACTTTACTGTTCCTACACACATATAATAATGGTGGTTTCTTGGTGGTAGACACTCACCACCCTCTGATTTTTTTTTCCTTTGCAAAGTGACTATGCTCAGAGCCAGTATCTCTTTTCCAAAGAGGTAACATGCCAGAAGGAATGTTAGAAGCGGCCTTTTTATCTGTCAGGAGCCAGATGATTCACAGCAACGAACCAATGCACATAACAAGGTACCTGATTGGTTTACCAATTAACCACCTCCACTTCGAGAGGGTGGTTGGAAAAAAGAGACACGCAGTGTTTAGTTTGGGCAAATACCAAAAGGGCTTTATCATACTCATCAAGCACAGCACATTAGACCTCCTCCAAACCACCTCACTGGAACTTCTCTTTCCAGCTTCTCCAGCAAGAGTAAACTTGCACTGCAAACATTGGGTTATTGTGTCTGAGCTACAGAAGCACCACTGTTCAATGAGAGGGCAGAAGCCAGCTGACTTGGGTCTGCTTTTAATGATGTCTCTGCTGGTAGGAAGTTTGGGAAATTGCAGGTAAAATCTCCTCCTTTGAAAATCAGGCTGTTCTCGAATGTAGTTATCTTACCTTCAACTGGCAGAAAATCCTCACTTTCAGTAGGTCCCGGGATGGACAGGCAGACTTTTCCTCCCTCTGGACTCAGGAAGAAGTGTCCCAGTGTTGGGTCTTTGGAATCTTCTTCAGAGAAAGAACAAGGCATGGGTAGTGTTGGCACCAGTAAAGGAAGGGAGGATAAATCTGGACTGTGTGCCCTGATTCAGGTACACAGATACCTGTACACTCAGGTGCTCACCAGAATATAGAGTGAGCCTTCCTCCTAGGATTTGGCAGAGCAGGGTGATTTTAGACCCTATCCTGTGGAGCTAAGGTAGGATGAATAGCGTGAAGTTACCACTAGCCTATACCTTGCCTTTGTGTGAGTCTGGAAAGGATGCATTGTATGACCAAGGCTTGGATGATGCAAGATATCTTATGTAAAGGAAAGGACGTCCCTTCCTCCAGGTGTATGTAGTTCAGCCTCTGGGCACAGGGCTTGGTGATTTTAGCCTCACCTTGCTCTCAGCTTGCCATCGGATGCCTTTGTGCAGTGCTTAACTTGCATAGCAATACCCTGATGTGGGGACCAAATGCTGGGACTGCTTAGTGACTCTAGGGGGCTCTGCTAGAGGGGAAACAAAAATGGCATTTCCCACAGGTGCTTAGAAAAATGGATAATGTTTCTATAACTCTATTTCCCCTAATTTCAAGGTAAAGGGGACAAGAATAGGGCTAGCCGTTAGCTACAATGGATGCCTACGAGTTCATACACATGCTCACCCAAGGTTTCACAGATGTGTGTATACATGCATACTTAAATATACATATATATACATGCACATTTTCACAAAGCATGTACAAATACTTGCAGGGGTGTGCACATGTCTGTACACTTACATGCATGCACACAGACATACACATGCATACACACATGCAGAATGGCCCACTTATACATCCACACACTCTTGTATGCCCATTCACAAACATTCTATATATGGGTGTGCATACATGCCATGAGTACTTACACACAGGCACTCACATAAAACTCAAACACACAGGCACACAGACATGTGCACTTATGTATATGTTCACTTTCATACATAAACAGGCATCCCTCACCCCAAATATACACTTGAGGCTTCCAGATGCCCTCTTGTCATAGTCATAACCCTGATGTTGATTGCAGTCTGGCCACCCCTCCACTAGAAGGGTCTGAGGAAATGCGTGTGTTCAATGTGATGTATTCAGGGCTATGCAGCCTCCAAGGAAAGTCCTTGATGCTGACATCATAGTACTGAAGGTTTGTGTCAAAATGAAGACAGCAGGATCATTGCGCCAGAAGTATGAGAGGGAGAGGATTGTGAAAGAGGGTTCCAACTCAAATGGTTTCTAAGTGAAAACACTTAGGAAGGGGGGTGTATGTGTGATGTGATGTGTGTTTATAACTTGGTTTTGACCATTGCAGTCTGAAAAATCTTGTAATTTATGCTTACTAGAATTCAACTCTTTATGCTTAGGGGAACGAACGTGTGAAGGAGAGAGAGAGAACTTTAAATAGGGAGGCATTCTGTCCCTGAGCAGGAATATGAGATGAAAGATGTGAAATTTGTTGCTTTCTTGGGGGCTCTCAGATGGTTCCCATGTGTCTCTGGGAGTGTGAATTTCTTTTGCAGCCCAGAGTGTGATTCGGATGTTAACAGAGACAACTTCTTTACACAGCTTCTTCCCTCTGCCCCCAAACACCACCTCCTTCAGTTGGTGCTCCATCAGAAAAAGAAGTCTGCTGCTCTGACAAGGGAGGGACAATGCTGGGTGGCATTTAGTAGAAAATGTTTTGTCCACCTTCAACATTATGCTTTCCCAGGGGAGTTTTAGGGGACAATTTGGACTTGAAGAAATGTTTGCTCTCTGAACTGTCTTTAGATCAAAGTTGCTATGGGAGCCGCTACTGTAGTACTGTCCTTGTATAAGCATCGTAGTCCCCTTGACTATCTGCTCCTTAAGGATGAGGACTTTAAGTGGAATTAACAGGACAGGGCAGGGTTTGTAGGGTCACTATTAGTCATACTTGACTTGATGGCAGCTAACAAGTCACAGAGAAGAGGAGCTCCGATGGAGTAGCCCTCAGTGTGCTGTGCGGCTAACCAGAAGGGCTGTGCTGTCTCCAGCTGTTGGAATTCATCAGCAGCTTCTTGAAAAACCAGCACTCTCCTCTTAAGATTTACAGCCTCAGAAACCTAGTGGAGGGTCGCCAGGAGTCAGAATCCACTTGCTATCAGGGAATGAGGGATTGAATGAAGTCATAGCAGACTAGTCCCTGGAGGCACAAATATTTACTACATGCTTGACTATTAGCCGAGATGTGGTTCAAACTCACACAGAAGTGCCTTGGAAAAGACCTGGCAAAGGACCTCTGGTGGCCTAATGGCAAGAAGCTGCACTGCAATCTTGAAGGCAAGTGGTTCAAAGTCACCAGCCTGATGGGCAGTCTCCTCCTGTGTGATTAACTGCCTCTGAAAACCCGCCAGAAACTCAGCTATGACTCTATGGTATACAACAACAACTAAAATAACCAACGAAGGAGAAGAGCTAGCAATCTACTTCCTACTAGCCATAAACGTGGACAGCTGGTGGAGCAGTATTACTCTGCACACATAGAACTGCCAAAAGTAGAACTGACCAAATGGCAAATAACAACATAGTCATGTGGGGCGTGGCTTTGCCCTGCTCTGTGACCAAACCTCAGTCTCTGCTCTAGGCTGAAGGGTAACTTCTTTCAGGAAACACTTCCTCTAGGCCAACTGACCAATCTCCTTGGAGGTGGGCTGGTAGGCCGGGGAGACGGGAGGTGGGGAGGATGTTTATGGCTTGGGCTTTTAGTATGCCTGGCAAATTCAGGGGCATGTCTTCCCACGTGAGCAGGGAGAGTTGTGTCATCACATGCTGCTGCCAAGAGGGAGGGGGGAAGGAAAGCACAAAACAGCTTGGCAGTGCATGTTGGTGCAACAAACCCCTTGAAACATGTACTGACTCTTGGGGAATATGCGGGGAGAACATTAATCCCACTGAAACAATGGAAACAATGCCCATTTCCCCTCTGCCACAGCATGGCTTCCAGAGAGCTTAAATCACGGCTGCCATCCAGTCCTGGCACATGATAATAAACCTGGGCCACAGACAAGCCAATGGGAGGCTGGGACTCCTGCACCCCAACCAGTTACCTTTTCCTTCTGCTGGGAGCTCCTTCCTGGGCTGTCTCACATTTGAGGGACCCATGGGGCTGCTGCAGCCTGATGTCCTGGGGCTGTCCAGGCCCCTCTGGCTCTCTGACTCTCTTCCTCCTTTGATCAGGGGCACAGGACCCAGTGATGGGACTGCATCCTGGGCAGAGGCTTTATCATCTTGAAAAGTAAAAGAGGAAAAAGCAGGAGAGAGATTTTCTGCGTTAGTAAGTAGGAGGAAGAATTTGTTTTCTAACTTGGCACCAGCTTCTTGTGTTTAAAGTGGTGTATTCCACACATTCTTAAGTTTATCCCTTGTCTAGCCCTGCTAAAGAACATGTGTCTTTCAAGGTCAAGTTGTATTACTCTGGGCTAGAATGGTAGCCCTTCATGTGGGGTAATCTCCAAGAACAGAGAGGACTGAGCAGCCATTGTTCCTTTTCTCATGTGATGAGATCCTCACATAGAAGGTAGGTAGGCGAGGCTGTAAACTCCTCCTAGTTCGCAATCTGAAAAATCCAATCTAATAATCTAATGGAATTATTTGGTATAGATTTCCAGACATTAAGCAGTTTTACTAAGCAGAGCCAATGATCATATTGTATATAAGGTACAAATTACTACTGCTTCACTGAATATGGTTGCTATGTGCCATCAATTCGGAATTGACTCATAACCAACCCTCCAGTGGGTTTTCAGAGTTTGTAAATCACACAGGAGAAGATTGCCTGTCTTTCTTCTGTGGAATGGCTTGTGGATTTGAACCACCTGTTTTTGGGTTGGCAGTGCAACTCTTTACCCACTAGGCCACCAGAGCTCCATTCTGTATGGTTGCGGGAAAGTAATGGCAGTAGTATTATCACTACATAAAGCACATGCACTCTCCATCCCTATTCTCTCTTTCTCTAACTATTCTCAAAACCAGCAGCACTGTTCTGGGAAGATTGAATCCAAGTAACAGAAAAAGGTTTTGTCTTAAAGAAATTACCCACTGCTGTCAAGTGACTCTGACTCCTGGTGAGCGCCACTGAGTTTCTAAGGCTGTGAATCTCAATGGGAAGAGACTGTCCATCTTTTTCCCTGGGAATGGCAGGTAGACTCAAACTTCTGACCTTTCACTTAGCAACCCTGCACACAACACATTTTGTTATCAGGACTCCTTCATTCAGAAAGAATAGTCTTTATTTCATATGCAACCTAACGATTACTATCAATATAAAAGCTAGCCTTATATTTAGTCTCTTAGTATCATCACCCCACAGATAGCTTATCTATTATAACAGAGAGATCTGGCAGGCACACCACTAACCAAATAATGAAATTTAGTATTTCTCATCATGCAACAAACAGACATTTGTATCATCTGATGTGATGCCCAGAGAAACGCTCAGCATCACCTACGTGCTGCACTTTTCTAAATTGTGTACTTGGAAACTAATCCCCAGGAAACAGATCCAAATCAAGCACAATTCTGCAAAACAGCTGGTCTATACTCTTACAAAAATGGCAATGTCATGGAAGATTCTGGGTTCAGGGAACTAGTTCAGATTATAAAGCTGATGTGACAATTAAAAGCAATATATGACCCTCACTCGGATTCTGGATTGGAAAGAAAAGCAACAACTATTAAGAACTGTTACTGGTATAAATGGATAAATTTGAATTTATCTCTTTATTTTTATTATAGTATTAGCCCCTCCTGTGTGATTATCTGAAAATCTGCTGGAGGGTTGACGATGGGTCGGTTCTGACTCGATGGTACACAACAACAACAACAACAACAACATTACGGCAGCTCTGGTGGCATAGTCTGTTGGGGGTTGTGCTGCCAACCTGAAGTTGGAGCCTCGCTGGCAGTCTGAATCCACCAGCAGCTCCCCAGGAGGAAGACAGGCAATCTCCTCTCATTCAATTAGCAGCTTCTAAAACCTGCTGGAGGGTCAGCTCTGAGTCAGTTTCAACTTGAAGACAATGAAAAGGTTGGTGTTTGTTGTTTTCTTTTTAAAAATCTTTTCATTAACTTTCTTGAGTATAAGAATTGTAATATGGGACAGAATATCCTCGTTTTAGGGAGTTCTGGTGGCTTAGTAGTAAAGAATTACACTGCCAACCCAAAGGTATGGGTTCAAATCTACCAGTTGCTTAGCCAGAGGAAGATGGGCAATCTGTTCTCTTGTGTCTCTGAAAACCTACTGGTGGGTTAACTATAGGTTGGCTGTGACTCATCAATACTCAACAGCAACTATCCTTGTTTTAGGATATAGCTGCTTATGGAAGAAAAAGAAATCTAATCTCTGAAATTTATTCTTAGATGGCTCAACAATAAAAAGTTACGTATGTTGTTGTTGTGGTTGTTAGGTGCCATTGATTTGAGTAGAACTCACAGTGACCTTATGAGTAACAGTTCTGAATCCTGTGCTAGCCTATGCCATCCCCACCACAACTAATACACTTGAGACCATTGCTGTAGTCACCACGTTAATCCATTTCGTTGGGGGTCTTCCTTTCTTTTGCTGACTCACCTTTCCAAGCATGAGATACCTTTCCAAGGAACAGCCTCTCCAAGCAACCTGTCCAAAGCATGAGAGATGAAGTCTTGTCATCCTTTCCTCCAAGAAGTACTCTGGCTGTGCCTTTTCCAAGACATACCTGTTCTTTCTTTTAGCAGACTATGGGATATTCAATACTCTTCTCCAACACCACAGCTCAAAGGCATCGATTCTTCTTCTGTTATCCTTATTCATTGTATAGCTCACAGTAGCAAAGCAAATGATTGAAAAGAATATGGCTGAATCAGGTGAACATTAGTCTCCAAACTGACATCATTGCTCTTCAGTATTTTGAGGAGGAACCTGACAAAGCAATGAGAGTCCTTATCTCCTTATCTCCTGACTCTGGTACCAAGGATGTTGATTATGGATCCAAGTAATGAAATCATTGATAATTTCAATTCTTTCTCCATCTGTCATAATACTTCAATTCTGTGATGCTATTGCTGGTCAGTGTTTACTCATAGTGACCCCATGTGACAGAAAAGGACAGCTGCATATAGTTTTTCAGGGTGAACCAGTGGTAATAAAATAGGAAGCTGCTCTGAAGGAATTGTCAAAAAATAAGGCCCCAAGAATTGATGGAATATCAATTGACATATTTCAACAAACAGATGCAGCCCTGGAAATGTTAACCAGGTTGTGTCAAGAAATCTGGAGGACAGCTACTTGGCCAACTGACTGGAAGAGATCCATATTTATTTCCATTCCCCCAAAAAGGTGATGTAACAAAATGGGGAAATTTTCAAACAATATCACTAATATCAACATGCAAGCAAAATCTTGCTGAAGATTATTGAAAACCCACTAAAATATTACATCAATAGAGAACTGCTAGAAGTACAAGTTGGGTTTTGAAGAGGCCATGGTATTAGGGATATCATTGCTGATGTCTCATGGATATTCACTGAAAGCAGAGAGTACCAAAAGGATGTCTGTTTGTACTTTATCAATTGTGCAAAGTCATTTGCCTGTTGGATTACACAAATTGTGGCTTACATTGAGAAGAATGGAGAAGAACACCTGATTATGCTCTTTCTGGAAATCTATACACCTAGACCAGCATGCTATTGTCTGAACAAAGCAAGTGAATACTGCATGGTTCAAAATCAAGAACGGAGTATGTCAGAAAGGTACCTTTTCAATATATTTGCTGATCAGATCACTCAGAAGGCTGGACTTTATGGAGGAGAATGTGGCATCAGGATTGGAGGAAGACTCATCAACACCTACATTATGCAGATGACACAACTTGCTAGCCAAAACTGAGGAAGACTTGAAACATTTGATTTCAACATCAAGATTGCAAAGATCCTCAACACTGGACTGACAAGCAGCATCATGATAGAAGGAGAAAAGACTGAGGTTGTTAATGGTTTCATCTGCTCAGATCCATGATCAACAGCCAGCAGTCAGGAAATCAAAAGACAAGTTGCATTGGGAAAAATCTGCTCTCAAGAACTTCTCCAGAATGTTAAAGAACAATGATGTCAGTCTATAGACTAAGGTGTACCTGATCCAGGGCACGGTCTTCTCAATTGCTTGCCATGCATCTGGAAGCTGGACAAGGAATAAGAATAACAGAAGAAGAATCAATGCCTTTGAGATGTGGTGCTAGATAAAAGTATTGAACATAGACTAAAGGCTGCCAACTGTATAAATAGGTCTGTCCTGGAAAGGGTGAAACCCTGTTGTTCCTTGGAGGCAAGGATTTTGAAGCTCACGTACTTTTGGAACATTGTCAGGAGGGACTAGTCCTTGGAGAAGGACAATATGCTTGGAAGGGCACATGGTCAGCACACAAGAGGATGAAATGAGTGATACAGTGACTGGCATTGGGGTCAAGTGTGTCAGAGATGGTGAGACTGGCTCAGAATAAGGCAAAGTTCGGAGCCATCATACATAGAGTCTCTATGAGTCATAGTCAACTTGACAGCACATAACAACAACAGCAAATATTATGGGATCAGATAGCCAATTCATTCTCTTGTGGACGTATTGGATGGGTTCAAACTGTTTACCTTTTAGTTAACAGCTGAATGCTTAACTGTTGTGCAGGAACAGAGTTCCTTTCTTAATAGTAGAGGGGAAACAATTCTGGTCTTTGAGTAAATAGCCATGCACACACATTATAGCTGTCAACTGCTCACCTCTGTGGCCATGGGGAAGTCCATGTATTGTACACAGAAAAGTCGGCCAGGAAAGGCTAGCCTCTTTGCATTTCTTTATATATGAACTATTGGCATGGGTCATTTGCTGAACAAATTCACACCAAGTTATCTCTGATTTCTTAGACTAGCTTTTTCCTGGTATGTGGCAGAAGTATGTCCTAGAATCTGTGGAAAACATGGCAGCTTGAAACAAAGCAGTGCAAGCTAAATGACTCCAAAGAAGAAATTCACAGGGAAGTGCCATTGCCTTGGTGGTTCAGGCTCCGCATCTTCACATTATAATTTACAGGGGGACAGGGTTTGGTGGTTTTTGTTTTATTTTTTTCTTTAAAAACCCATGGAACCACTTCAACCATATTTGACTTTTTAGAAAGGAAACATCAAAGTCTTCAGGATGATTAACTTTCATCAAAGACAGACTAAATAAACAAAAGAAATCCACAAATCCTAAATGTCTCCAGAACATTCTGTTCTTACATAGGTTCACTGTTTTTCTTATATTGAAAAGGTAGAGCAGTGTAATGGGCAAACAGCTGGCAGCCTGACCTTCAAGGCTCAATCAGCCAGTTAGGGTTGTATGACCTCGAACAAGTTACTTGTCTCTCAGCAGAATAATGGGATTATGATGAGGAGTGAATAAGTGAGATAACACATGGTTAAAAATCCAAGACTGTGCCTAGCATAGAGGAGGAAGACAATAAATGTTAATGTTTGCTGTGGATTGAAATGAACAGCCTCCAGAAAGATATACCGAAGTTCTAACCCCTCTACCTGTGACTATGATAGCCACTTGGCAACGGGGTCTTTGAAGATGTTATCAGTTAGCACATGAGGTCATACTGGAGTAGGGTGGGACCTAATACTATTCACTATTGCCCTTGTAAAAGAGGGGAAGAGATAACACAGACACAAGAAGATTTCATGTGATGTTGCAATTAAAAAGCAAAGAATGTCTGGAGCTACCAGAAGCTAAGGGAGCTCTGGTGACTTGGTGATAAGGAGTTGTGCTGTCAGCTCAAAGGCAGGTGGTTCAAATCCACCAGTGACTCTTTAAGCAAGCTGTATATATTATCTTAGTAGTTTACAGCCTCTGATAACCCCACCAGAGGAGGGCCAACTATGAGTCTATTTTGACTCAATGGCATATAACAACCAGAAGCTAGGAGAGAGGCAGGGAACAAATTGTTCCTTTGATTCAATCTGTTCAGAAGGAATCAACAAGATCAGCCTTCAGATCTCAGATTCTGTTCTTATAAACCAACCAGTTTATGGTATGCTGTTAGGGTGTCCTAAGTAATTGATATATCGTTTGCCTCTGTTTCCTACTGTTGTTGTTGTTGTTATGGGCCATCGAGTCATTTGCGACTCATAGCAAAATCAACATCCTTGGTACCAGAGTTAGGAGATAAGGACTCCCATTGCTTTGTCAGGTTCCTCCTCAAAATACTGAAGGAAAATGATGTCAGTTTGGAGACTAAGGTTCACCTGATTCGGCCATGTTCTTTTCAATCATTTGTAGTCAGAGATAAATAATAACATTTGTGTTATTGTAGGTAGATTAGATAGAAAAAAGAAGAGGCTACAGCTGGCTAACTGTCCTCTGACTAGAACTCCTAGTCCACCAACAGCAAGAAGAGGTCAAAGCACAAGAAAGACTGACCCAAAATAACCGAAGACCTAGTTGCAATATCAATATAATAAATTATCATTGTGGTTCCCCCCTCCCTTTGAGGGGGATCAAACTGAATTATGGGGAAAAATACCTAAGAACTGGAACCAGAAGCACCATGTATGGATTTCAACTTATAAGTGGACGATAACTTAGAATTTGTCAAGATATTACCTCACGCCGTAGCACCTGCTCATTGATAGCAAAAAAGAAAATCCAACCCCTAACAAAAGGAAAATATTCTCATTTGTCAAGGGCTGCCCTTTCTCTTCCTTTGAGAGTGTATGTGCTTTAATAAATTTACACTTTGCTGACATCTATAAATCACCTTGCCTCTTCATTGCTTTCTCTTGTCTTATTTTGTCTCCCAAGTGGCGTTTCAGTAATTCTTTAACAAGAATCTGACAAGCCAAGGCAGACTGAAGTCCAAAGACCTCCCCTCCAGTTACAGTACCATCACCCTATTCCTGCCTTTTGGAAAACAGATGCAGTTTTCTAAAAATGGGAAGATTTTGAAATACGGTCCATTAACTCCAACTTATCTAACTCAGGGAAATAGACACTTTGATGAGTCCAGGTAGGCAATTTCAGATGTCTGCATGATCTTTGTCATTATTTAGAAGATTTTCTTGACATTATGGGCTTTAAAAGAAATCAATGCACACTCATAAAGAGATTAGAACAGAAATGTCATTGGTTAAAGATATGGGATGACATACCGAGCAAGTAGCAAAGTTTTAGAAAGTTTGGGGTTATTTTTTTACACAGGCAACCAGAAAATATTGAGATGGAGATTATTTAGTGAATCTGTAACTGAGAAACTAGACACTAAGTTAGTGTTATTGCAGTGTTTGGGTAAAGGCAGCTGCTGCCTGTGTAAAGGTCATCTCTTGAGTGGCTGGAGATGAACTAATTTCCCTTCCGACCTCCTCTTTCTTGGTTGAGAACCCTTGTACATCTTACTCTTTTTCCCTTCTGAGAAAGGGTCCTCTGGGATGCTGGAGGGAGATACTACCTTGAGGTGATGACATATCCACTGGGAGATGCTCTTTTAACCACCATGGCCGTTCTGAGGATGAGTACTTCAGAGGAGGTCTCCATAAAGGCTTGGCTTCTAGCATTTCTGGTCCTGATGCAGGGTATGGAGCATCTAAGAGACAAAGAGAACACCAAATTGAATTAGATCGCTGTTGTTTTGGCCAGCTGCCTTTTCATTTTGTCTACCCTCCTCCTTTGACCATGTGGCTTGGATAGAGCTGCGTTTATTTCCTGGCATCAGGGATGGGCATGCGAGTGAAGCCTGGCTACAAGGAGTTCCTCCTGGCCTGGGCTACAGTTACTGGTTCTAGGTTGAGCACATGACCCAAGCCTGGCCAGTCAATGACAATTCTGAGACTTTTGCAAAGGTTTTTATTAAGAGGTGTTCACTTGACTGGATTTAACAGGTGGGAAGGAACTTAGGAAATTTTAGGGGGCCATCTTTGTAATCATATAGGGATGGTTTGCTTAAGAGGAAAGGCCAGCGGAATGGAGAGACTTAGAGAATTAGTGCTCAGATGACATTTTCTTTTTCTTTTTTCTTAAATTAGATTTTTTAAAATTAGATTTTAATTAAAGTTTATAAAGAACTTGGATTTCCATTCATTCATTGTTGAACATTTTCCTCCCTGTCTCCCCTCCTCACTGAGTTCACTTTTTCCTTTGGAAAAAATATTCTTTCATTGTTATACATTTCCACCCCCCCTCCCTGACCACTTTACTATGCATCTCTTATTCTGGACTCTTGTCATGCCAATAATACCTGATCATATATTCCTTTTATACAGTCTGTCCCTTGTCTGTTTCAACGCCGTGTACATTATTTATGGCCTCTCTTCTTAGTTTCCCCCCAACCCTCATATTAGCCTTATTCTAGAACAGTGGCATTATGCAGTATTTGTCTTTTTTGTGATGAAGATATTTCACTCAGCATAATGTCCTCCATGGTCACCTATTTTGTATAATATTTGATGAGTTCTCTGTTTTTCAGTGCTGCATAATATTCCATTGTGTGAATATACCACAGCTTCTCTATCCATTCCTTTGTTGATGGGCACTTGTGTTGTTTCCAATTCTTTGCTATGTGAACAAAGCAGTGATAAACATGGGTGTGCATATATTTGTTTGGGTGGCAGTTCTGGTTTCTTTAGGATATATTCTCAGTAGTGGAATTGCTGGGTCAAATGGTATCTCTATTTCCAACTTTTTGAGAAAACACCATACTATCTTCCACAGTGATTGCACCATTTTACACTCCCACCAACAGTGAATAAGGGTTCCAGTTTCTCTACAACTTTGCCAATATTTGTTGTTTGCTGTTCTGTTAAATTTTGCTACTCTTACAAGGGTGAGATAATATATCATAGTTGTTTTTGTCAGATGACATTTTCTAAGTCCTAGATCCAATTGTTACTGATATTATCTGATCCCTTGCATTATCCAATTACATAAGTTAACACATTTCACTTTTTGCTTTAGGTGATTTAAGTTTCTGATCATTATAACTAAAGTGTCCTCACTGACATGCAAGAGAGAGGAGAACACATTGGATTAACTTTTCTTTGTGTTTTATTTATCTTTTTTATTTAGTAGTGTGTTGGCATAGTCAAAGTATCTATTAGCTCTAAGAACTTGGTTCATGATCGTCTTGTGCTTCTGATCTTCCTCTCAAGTTCATAAGAAAAAGAACCATGAGGATTTAGCCCACAGATTGCTAATAGTCATCTTTCTCACTCCTCTCTGTTTTTTAAGCAGTTAAGGGTAATTTTTTTAAAGGCAAAATTTGGAGATAGAGAAATGCTCAGATCTCAGGTGTACGTTCATTGAGTTTTGGCAAATATATAATATACCTACATAACCAATATTCCTATGAGGATTCAGAATATTCCCAACACCCCTCACCTGTCAGGGCTCCCTTATATATTTCCTTCTGTTGATCGACCTTCAAAACTCCGTAATTAGGTATTCTTACTTATGGTGAGAATTCCTAACAACCCTAGAACAAGATGGCTACCTGCTAAACTACTAGAAGTCAAAACTCTTTAAGAAATCAATAGAGTTCTGTTAGAGTATCCAGGAAAGTCATAATTAGAATCCCTCAGAATTAGAGTCAACTGGTTAGAGTTGCTGTTCCCTTTGGACTGCCCAGAGAAGTGTTAGGAGCTAGAAGGCCGTTGACAAGGGTGTTGTTTTGTTTAATAACTTAGGAAAGTCAGACAAGATCTTCCCTTAGGATCCATAAAGCTTCCCAAAATCCCAGTTGGATTTTTTTTCTCTCTTTCCTTTGTCTATACCCTCTCAGCATTCTGCTTAGAAGCACAAAATCTTTGCCTTGAAAAAAAATTTTGAGACCCATTATTAGATGAGGATTCCTTTTTACCTTGCACATTCAAAACTCGGCTCAGTGTTTATCTTAGTCCAAAGAATTTATCCCAGATGTCAGGTAACAACAATTTCTTGGCAATTCTTAATGGGCTTGTGTGCTATTTAATTTTCTTTCTTTTTTTTTAATTTTCAGAAGCTGTAAACTTCTTTTTTTTAAATTATTATTAAATTTTATTAGTTTTAATGAACATTTACAGAGATTTTGGGTTTTCATTCATTCATTCATTCATTGTTACACTGTTTTCTCTACCCTCCTCCCCAGTTCGTTCTTCTTCCCTGACCCCCGAATGTCTGTTTTAATTGTCCAATTGCCACAGTGCTTGTAAAAGCCAGTTCTGATTAATCTCCTTTGTCAGTGTGTCCTTTGCCATTCCCTATCACTCCTCCCTGAGAGAGACTTCACCCTGATTCATAAGGAAAAGGGGATGGCATATTCTCTTAGCTACTTCTTGCTGAAAAGGGACACTGTAGGTTTCAGGGTGAAGATCTTCTCTCACTACTCTAAAGGGCCCCTTTGGCAGTAGGAAACACATAGACTATCATGGAGATTGATTTTGGAATTTAGATGCACTGTTATTAATTGTGCTTAGCCGTACATGTTCATATCCTTGAAGAGGTATCATGGAACTAGCCTAGAAGACACAAATTTAACTAACAAGTTAAAAGTACATGAGTCAAAAATGAAAAAGCAATAATATTCCAAGTAGAGGTTCTAATAGTGGCACAAATCAAGTTACAGAGGGAAGGTGGTTCTTACAATAAAAGGCCTATAGACTAGCACTTTATGTCTATTATAGTGTAGAGGTTAGGAACCACAAGATGTAGAAGCTCAGCTATGTCATTTATGGTTCTTAAGTCCTGGAGCAAATTCCATTTACTACTGGGTTGTTTTACAACTCGGAAGTTCACATGCAAGGTAGAGGTGAAGTAAGGAACTGCTTATGAGGTTTTCTGTCCATTCCAACAACTAAGAAATAGTGAAAAGACTTGGGACCTCAGAAGGCTTTTAGGACCAATTAGTAGGCTCTGTGTCCAGGAGAAAACGAATATACTTACCAGTAATGTTAATGCTCACTCACAGCTCTTCTGGGAGGATCTAAATTGTTGAAGCGTCCTCCTTTGTTTCCAGGCTATTTAATTTTCAATTGTCCTGTTTAATGGTGTACTTACTTTTCGTGAGCTGCCTGGAAATTCTTGCACCTCTTATCTAACACCTGAATTGATTGAGTTAATGCATATGCATGTCTGTCTTCCTTTGCATGTAAGCTCCTTGGAGGCAGGATAACAGCTTTCTATATTAGTCTTTCCCACAGTCCCACAAAATGCATTGCTTAATGAAAGACTTAATGAAAAATATTTAAAATGGAAATAACCCTGATGAGAAGAGACTTAGTTCTACAATTTATCCTTTTATTTACTTCTTAAAGAAATTATCTGAAGAGATGACTTTGTGGCGGGTCAGCTATGATACATGAGATGAGGGTTGAATTAGTGGATCCCCATGTTCTGGTCATTCTTGCCCTGCCTGAACTCTCTCTAGTGCACTCATCCACGGGGTCCTACCTCTTCTGTGGGATTTTTCTTTTGAGAGGTGATGCTTATGGAAATGGATCTCCAGTGGGAAGATGAAGAGCTCTCTTGGGGGCTCCTTGGCTTTAAATTCACTCCTTAGGGGGTCCAGGACTCTAGATGGTTCTTTTGAGATAGGAGGTAGTTTCAAAGGCTTTGACATCTGGAGAAAAGTGAAAAACAAAATAAAAACCAAGAGGACAGGTCTCCTAATCCTCCTGCTTGCAGGGAGCAAAGGCTGTTGTATCTCACTGTGGCTGAGGAAATAAATTAATGTAGGGCAGTCACTTCATGACTCATTAATCCAGCTTCTGATTACTCTGACAATTATAAATGTGATAAATCAAAGCGTTTTGAAGAAGAAAGAAAGTTTTTCTTTCTCTTGAGACTAGGTAAACTGAACCCAACTGAAATGACATAGCTGAAATCTGCTAGGAAGGAACTTTGGCATTTGTTGTTAAGACAGAAAGGTGCACAGCATTGCTTGAGTGTGTAACCTTTAGGCAAGAAAAGACAGAAAGTAGGAATATGTATTTATGCTTGCTTGCTTCCTTGAAATCACTTCAAACCTTGAATTCTGTAAAATGGAGACAAACATATCACCATTTCAAACAATATTAGCCTAAGTAGTTACAAAAGCATGTAGGATTTGAATTATTTCTATGATACTTTGAGAGTGCTCTTCTCACAAGTTTAATATCCAATCTAGCCAGTGGCAGAGTATCTAGGATTTTCTGTATTTTTCGAATATGAATGTGTCTGAGTATGAATCGCCAGCTATTAGAAGCAGTCACACTTGACCAATTTATCTTTCTGTTTTCTGTCAAAAAAGATGTATGTGTGTATGTGTTTATACATATGTATATACATGCACATGTAAATATATATACATATGTGAATGTACATGTGCTTATGTGTGTGCCCCAAATCCTTAGATGCTACAGATGGTTACTGTGCTATTAACAGAAAGCTTGGAAGTTTGGGTTCACCCAGAGGTGTCTCTCAGAAGAAAATCCTGGTAATCTATTTTTGAAAAATGGGTTATTGAAAGCTTTATCATTCTATGGCTGATTTTGAACCAAGCAATAAATAGGTCTATAAAGAATAACACTAGGGAGGTATATGCTCTTCAGAACAGCCAACCTCTAGAGATTAAAAGGACATTAACCCAAGAACAAAATCTAGAAGACAGAGAGGAAGGACAGAAGAATGGAAACGGGAAAGACAGGGAGGGAATGGATGGGCGATGCTCTACTATGGGGATCGCAATCATTGCCAAGAAACAAATTATGCATGAATTGTTAAATGGAAAACAAATTTGCTCTGTAAACTTTCACTCAAAAGGTGTATGAAGGGTTGAATGGAAAAGTGACCTGCTCTGTAAACCATCATCTAGTTCATAGTGAAAAGATCCTTAGAAGAAGCGATAGAAAATCCTATAGAGCACAGTTCTACTCTGACACATATGGAATTGTCATGACTGGAAATGCCTGCAACTGGTAAAGTAACACTCTGTGTGTGTGTGTGTGTGTGTGTGTGTGTGTGTGTGTGTGTGTGAAGAGTGAGAAAGAGAGGCACTGACTAGAGGTAGTAGAACCTCCTGTTTGCAATTTTTCAAAAGTTGAGGCAATTTTCTCCTTTCAGTTTGCAACCTTTAACATATGAATTTAACTTTAAGAAACATATGTGTTCAGTTTCAGGATGTTAGGGGGCTCAACTTTATAGGAAAAAAAATAAAAACACTTCTCACTTTCTGAGTACTCAAACAGAGGGGGAAATAAAGCTCAGAAGCACACAGAAGCATCCTGAATCACCAGAATTAAAGGACATTCAACAGAATTACTCAAGGCAGCACTTATAATTTTGAGACACGAAGAAATTATTGACCAAACACATGCACATGGGATATTTATGTTTCTGGAGACCTTCACTGTCCAGGTGCCAGCTGCCCACCAACTGCTCGTCTTTGAATACTGACCTTGTGCATTTTGTTTGACAAGGTTCGCATTTATAAATCTATGTGGAAACTAACGATTTGTGTGAGGTGTGGCTGACAAGTCAAGACTTAATTTCTTTGTTCTAATTAAAGATTTAAACAGAGTTTTCATACAGTAGGAACATGATTTTGCTCTGCTGAACCATACACAGCGGTTAAGGAGCTGGTCTAGATTTTGAAATCTGGGGTCTTCTTTATGCCCATCGTGACTTTAGCAAGTTGGCCTGCCTCTCTGTCTGGGGCAAAGGAGCCTGGGAAGGCAGAGGCCCTTCTGCTGTGGATGGGAAGGTGTGGATCAGTTAAGATACAAGAAGTCTGAGAAAATTTGCACCAGAGATTCAAAACATAGAATACCTATGGCTCCTTCAGGGCCACTTTGCTGTTGTTTGGTGATGTTGAAATCGACTACAACACACTGTGACCCTATGCACACACAACAGATCTGAACTTGCTCTATCTGGTCTCATCCTCATGATAAGCTGAGCCCATTGTTACAGTCAGGACACAGATCCTTCACTTAACTAACATGACTGTAGATCTCAACTGGCTAGATATTGCTTATCATCTCCCTTTATTCTCCCCTCAGTCTTCGAGATGGGAATTTTCTGTGGATGCAGATACGGTCACTGTCCCCGATAGTGGAGTAACTCACCCAAGTTTGCACAGATGCTTAGCAGAGCCTCTGCTTGTTCCCATTTCTCACTGATGCCTCAACCACTAGAGACCCACAAAGAACTGCAATGCGGAGCCAGGTCAGAGACAGTCAGGGACACCTCTGCAGCAGGCGATGCATGGAGCTTCTGGAAGGCGTTGGTAAACTTGATATACCCTGAATTGTCTGACTGAGCGTACTGAGCCAAACTATCGTGGGTCTGAAGATGGTCGATTGCTCACACGTTTAAATTCTACCAGTACAGGTTTACAGGTAACTCATGGCCCCTTAACAGAACAAAGAATTCTATGGCCGCCAGAGAGAATGTGGTAATAGAATAAGTTTTAAAATAGACTTGAGGAGGGTGGAAATCTCTTGTATTGCATTCTTTTCAACATTTACTAAATGATCACAATTTGATTCCTGCCCCACACGGTGAGCTCATCAGTGAATGAGGTCAGTGCTCTTTTGAGACATCCCTCTGAGTCACCTCGTTCCTAGATTAGGATCATCCGTACACAAGCAGGCATATATGTGCATGCATACGGGGAGACACACACAACCTTTTTCTGTTTCACTTTCTCAGAGGTGTTTTTTGCTAGGCCGGAGGCTGATGGAACTGAAGGAAAAAGGCATCTTTCCACAGGCGGCTCCTGTAATAAGTGTCTACTTCTGTCCTTGAGGAGTTTCACAGTTCCTTCTTTGCCTGTGGAAACAGGGTGGAAATGACGGCTCAGTGGTTGCAGTTAGGGGATGGATAGTCAGCTTTCAATGTTACTTTCTGGTTAATGGGAATAAAGGCAGAGAGGATGGAGAAAGACTGAGGTGGTTCAAGCTGTGGCTGTGGCAGATTCTGGGAGCCCTGGCTTTACTGTCTGGGTTGGCATCTTACTGGATGTGTCAGGCAATGGAGAGAATAATAACAACAAGCACCGAGTATAGGAGAACTATGTCACATGGTTTATAGGCATTAACTTACTTAACTCCCACAATAGCTTTGGGCTATTATTATTCTCCCCATTTTACAGATGGAAAAAACTGGGTCTCAGCATGATTAAATAACTTGCCCAAGGTCACACACAGCAGTAAGCGGACCATGATTTGTACCATGGCTGTGTGTAGTTAAACATTAGACAGGTGAGACTTGTTAGAGTCCCATGTCAACCTTCAGCTTGATTCTGGCAGTTATGTTCTAAGGTGAGTGGCTCAAAGAAGTGACAGTTGGCATGCCTCAGTGTGCTCAGATGATTTCTGCATGATTAGGTTTACCTAGATCAACAAACAAGACACTTGGCTTCTTACCACCAAGATCTGCCTTCCTATTGGGGAAGGAGTCTCCATAGAACATAATGTGGGATTTGTCGCTCCGGAGCCAAGAATGATCTATGTGGGCATGCCCCAAGGCTCTCACTGAGGTTTGTCGTGTCTTTTCATTGTGACTTTCCTTTGAAGCATGCATGTGATGGTGATTCTCTGTTGACGTGTCCTAGGGAACGACAGATACACATTCCTATAAACAGGCTTTTGTGAAAGAACAGAGCAGGTTGCTTTAACAGTCAGATCTCATGGGCACATATGTGATTTTTGAAGATCAAATCTTTTTTTGGAGGCTAGGAAGAATAAAATGGTTATAATAGCAAGATCTCTAATGGCATTTATCCCAATAGAACAGTTTATTATTGATGGTAGTAAGAATGACATTTAACCATGCCTGACATGTGCTTTCCTGCAAAACAGTTTGGTTTCTTTCTTTTTTCTTAAGAATCAGAGTGATGTGCATATTTTTAGGGCAGTGAAACCATTCTATATCATACTGTAATGGTGGACATATGGCTTTATGCCTTTGTGAAAACTCATCATACTGTATAACACAAAGAGGGAACTCGAATATAAATGATTAACGTTAGTTAATGACAATACATCCCTATTAGTCTATCAGTTGTAACAAATGTACCATATGAATGCACCATATGAATGCAAGATGTTAATTCTAGAAGAAATAGTGTGTAGTAGGGAGGAGGAGTATCTTTAGAAATTCCTGTACTTTTTGCACAGTTTTTCTGTAAGCTGAAAACTTAAAAAGAACCCTTTTACAAAAATTAAGTGCTAATGCCATTGTCTTTATCCATCATTAAAATGTCTCTTCTCTCCCTTGCTGCCCTGTGTGACATTCCTCTTCTCCCCTTTCCTGTGCTCATTGTTTCTTTAAGTCAAATGAGTTTATCTGAGATGAGAGTAGAAGTTGACTATGTTGCTTTAAACCACTGTCATTTGGTGTACACACAAGTGCGCATGCACACACACACACACACACACACACACACACACCCCTAAAATAGCATTTCTATAGTCTGCCTGGAAAGCTCTGGTAGCTTAGTGGTAAAGAATTGTGCTGCAAAAAAAAAAAAAAGAATTGTGCTGCCAACCCAAAGGCATGCAGTTTGAATCTGCTAGCTGCTCCACAGGAGAGAAATGGGCAATCTTCTCCTTTACAGTTTATTGCCTTTGAATACCTGCTGGAGGGTCAGCTATTAATTCCAACTTGGCATAGCAACAAGAGCAGCATACTTTGACTTAGTTCATCTTTTCATTGACCCATGGGGTTGTTATGAGCTAAAAATCGACAACACAACAGCAGCAATCCCCTTAACAGCTTGGTGAAATATGTATTATAACAGCCTCACTTCAGAGAAAAGGTTAACTAAAGCTCAATTTAGTTAGTTAAATTTCTTGACTAGGCTTCACTAAGGCTCAAAGATGGTTACATTTCTTGACAAGGCTTACCACAACTAGTAAGAGGCTGGGTGTTCCACTTTAATAACAAAAGCTCTTTTTCTTTTTCTAGACATGTCTACAGCTGCTATATCGGGGAGGGGCAGGGAAGCATCTGTAGTAAAAGAAATTTGGAAAACCTTGCATTACATAAAGTTAAACCAGCTACTCCACAGAACTTATCAAAGCCAGCCGTATCCAAATGTGCAGCCTGACTGTGGGAGAGGGGTCCAGGATACAGCGTTTCCCAAAGGTATTTGGCCAAGAAACACTTTTTCACGGACCATCTGGCAATAGTAGGGTTCCACAGATGATGTTTTGGGAAATGGTGGTCAAAAGCTTCTAAGTTCTTTTCAGATCTATGAAGGGCCTCGATATGGTGATGGGATGGAGTCAGTCAGAAGTGGTACCTCTGCCTGGGTTTTGTCTTCCTGCAGAAGGTGCTTCCTGAGTGGCGGCCAATGGACCCCTTGGCTGCCGTGGTTCTTGGCTGCAGAGCCCTTGTTCACATCACCATCAGCCCCAGCTTCCCACTCATCCAGGCCCTGGTGACCTGCAAAGATGAACAGTTAGTCAGTTCTGTAACCCCTGTGGTGGGCATGACGTTGTTGTTGTTGTTGTTGTTATGTGCCGTCGAGTCGCCTGCAACTCATAGCGACCCTATGTACAACAGCCCTAAACTCCGCTCTGTCCTGTGCCAATTGCACTGTCTCTGATACTCCCATCCCAATTATCACTGGGCGTGACGGTCTTGGTTATTTCCAAATAGCCTCCCTTCTTGTTTTTCTGAGTAGGAGGGTTCAAAGCCCTTATCCCCCCTTTCCTGATTTGTGTGTGTGTGTGTGTATATATATATATATATATATATATATAATTTTTTTAATAGCACCTCATAACAGTGGCAACCAGGTCAGTAGAAACACTAGGAGCCAGGAAACCCAGGATTTGCTGTTCATTTCTTGGACATTGCTTCCTCATCTGTAAAATATGAATTTTAATTCCCTGCCCTTGCTTCCTTGCTGTGCCGTAAGGAGTCCAAATCAGATAAGAAAAATAATAGCCCATTGTAAATAGGGAAGGATAGTGAGTAAATGGTGTGACTAAGACAAGACCTGCAGCTCTCTGCCCCGAGGTCCTTGAGGTGCCCAGTTGGAAGCAAGCCCTCAGGGTTTCCTGGGCTGCCTGTGGCTTGTTTGCCCATGGGCCCACCTCCACTGAGCGCACTGCAGTGTGACCACTGCTGAGCTCCTCCTCGCTGACTTACCCTGTCTGTGCAACCCTCAGGAAGGATCTGAGTCAACAGATGACTCCAGCATATTTAACAAATCTTTCATCAATGGTTTAAAGGGTCCTGCAGCTATTTTCATCACTTACTCAAGGTAGATTTATTGCTGAAATAGTCTGGCAAACCTGCCTTGTTTGGAGCCAAGCTTTAGCAATACCACTCCCAGCATGCAGCTCTGTGAAACAATGTGGGGTTGTCTTTCAATCAGGCATCTGGAAGCCTTTGGGAGCCCTGTGTATATATGCTGGATACTGGACTTCTCCTTCCCTGAACCAGTCTCATTTCCCCTCTATCTTCTCCAGCCTTCATCTCTCTTCCTCATTCCTGTCCTAGGTATGTTGGATCAAGAGTTAAATGCCTGCCTCTAGGGTTACACTCCCTCCCAACTCTCCTTCTTCTGCCCATTGGCTCCTGAAGGCTGCTTCAGGTTTTTAGAGGTTTTTTTTTGGTTTGTTTTGTTTTGTTTTTAGAGGGTTTTTATGGAATAGATCCAGGCCCAGGCTCAGAGGAGTCTTTAGATTTCAGAGGTCGAGGGAAACTTAGTGGACCCTGTGTGTTTAACAATGCAGGGCTCCTCAATCCAAGGTGGTTCAGGACCATAAGAAGACCTAAACTCCATGCAAAGCGCATCAATAAAGATCTTTCTTTGTGAATATTCTGTAACAAGCCCCTGGTAAGCCAGATCTCAGGCCCATCCTTCCTGGTCAGATTCACCTGGAACCAAACACATTTCTGTGGGTGGAGACAGAATGTGCATTCATCTACTGAATATTCTAGGTGTCAGATGGTTTGACTTGGGACACAGGCATGGTAGATAGAGAAAGACATTTTCCCCTTTGGCTATATTCCAGGTGAGATTGAAGACGACTCAATCTATGTGTGGGGAAACCAAGATTTTTCTCAGTAAACATCACCAGCTGGCTCATTTGTTTATGCTTAACAGAAACAGGTTTGTAAGCAAAATATTGAAGGTTCAGTGCTGAAAGGAGAACACAGAGCTGGGTCTCTTTATATTGCAAACACAGACTCAGGTTTCCTGATGATGTACACGGAGCAGTGACTTAGAGCTTTTAGAGGACTTCACTTCCCTCTTCTCCTGTGACTATTTGCAGCAAGCTTTGGAGGAAGAATGCAAATATCATTATTCCCATGTTAAAAAATGAGCAAACTCAGATTGTAGGCAGTGTGTGTGCCTTGCTCAACACCATCACATTGTTGGGGTATCTGGGATTGCAGCCAGGCTTTTACTACTTCTCCAAATAAAGTGTCTGGTAAAGAGAGGGAGGCCAAAGGGAGATAAAGTTAAAACCAATAAAACCATTAGTCAAGGTACAAGTTAAAGCCTCTGAGCTCTTTTTACTTCCGTCAAAGTTGAGTTTTAGCCTCTGTGATCATGAGCAATTGGGCATTGCAATTAGCGTGTAATTATGCTTAAGAAATCCAAGCTGGGGAAGTCTATAATAAACATTTATTGAGCACTTGCTATGTGCCAGGCACTGCATTATGCCCCTTAATGTCCACATGCAGTCCTCTGAAGCAGAGGCAGGCATTGCTATCCATCCACATGTTATGAATAAGGAGAGTGAGGCCCAGAGAAGTCACAGAACCTGAAAATCTGGTATTACTGACCACAGGCTTAACCACTCTTCTGTATGTTTTCTTTGTTTTCTGTCTGATTGTGATAGCATTTTGGTGTCAGCCATCAATCAGGGAAATAATTTGATCCCTTAGCTGTGCAGTGCTATTCACTTAAAAATGGAACACTGTAAGTCAATGTCCAGGAACTGTGGATTCTGGGTATCAACATCTGATATTAGCTGGACACTGTCAGATTTTTGAAAAGACAGGAATGAGGCAATGGGGGAGGAGAGTGCCATCTGGGAGACGGTGTAGCAGGTGCCCAGAGAGGAACATCGCTGGGTAGGTTTATCACTGCCCAGAACACAGATGGCCTAGAAACAGGATATTTTTAGTGTTCCAAAATCAGCTGGTCTCAGGAGTATTGATCCACATTAGCAAAGTCTATAAAGACTGTTCTGTGGACCAGCGCATGAATCTATAAAGAGAGATGTGATGGCAGCATCACATTCTATTGTGTATTGTGCATGGGCTCACAATGTGTTAGAGCCCAGCTCAGTGATAGCTAACAACAACAACAACAATAGCAAAAAAAGGTTGGCTCAGGGCAAAGTTCAGAGCTATTGTTCATGAGTTGCTATGAGTTGTAGTCAACTTGACAGCACACAACAACAACAGTAGTGTACAATTTTCAGAAAGCCCATTATAATTTTATGCACAGTAGTGCGGTAGATCTTTTTCTGGACGTTTCACCAATAAAACAGAAGCTCAAACTCAGAATCTTATACAAACTAAGTGGGAGAAGATTTGTGATTTTATAACCTATATTTTCCCCAAAAGATGTGACCAGAAAGCTCTAGGATCAAAACATGCTAGAAGGCAGCAGACATAAGTTATTTGTTGTTATGTGCCGTCGAGTCGTTTGCGACTCATAGTGACCCTATGCACAACAGCCCTAAACCCTGCTCTATCCTGCGCCAACCACACCGCCTCTGACACACCCATCCCGATTACCCCAGTCACTGAATCAATCCACCTCATAGAGGGTCTTCCCCTCCTGCGCTGTCCCTCCACCCTCCCAAGCATGATGTCCCTCTCCAAGGACCCGTCCCTCCGGGCAACATGTCCAAAGTATGTCAGACGAAGCCCCAGAATCCTTGCCTCCAAGGAGTAGCTTGGTTTAATCCTCTCCAAGATGAATCTGTTTGTTTTCCTGGCAGTCCATGGTACATTCAGTACTCTTCTCCAGCACCACAGCTCAAAGGCATCAACTCTCCTCCTGTCCTCCCTAGTCATTGTCCAACTCTCTGATGCATAACAAGCGATTGCAAAGACATGGCCTGTATCAGGCGCACCTTAGTCTCCAGAGAGACATAAGAGGTAATTGAAAATCTTGAATTCAAATTTGAACTGTCCACCATAATGACCACTAGTGGCATGTAACAAATAAAGTCTAAATTTATTTAAACAAAATACAATTGTTAATTTAGTTTCTCGATCTTACATTTCAAGTGCACTCGAGCCAAGTGTGGCAAAGGGCTATTATAATGGACAGCGCATATCGTAGAACATTCCATCATTGCACAAAATTTAATTGGCTAAGGTTAGTCAAGTTAGACACCTCATTTTATAGATGAGAACAATGAAACTCAGAATTCCTAGGTTTTATTTTGGGAAACTCCATTGCAAGGCACTGAAATGGCAAATAGTTGAGAACCAGTTTTAAAATTAACTTGTACCTTGTTCAAAAGAGTTACCTTGTTGAGTCCAAAATGTAGGGAAGACAGGCAGGAAGTGGTATTTTGGGGGAACACCTGAAAGGTCCTGGTGTGGTCTAAGATTCTTTGGTATATTAAGTTGACGGTCCTGGAGCAGAACAGAATCCTTGATGCATCCTGAAAGATAGGTCAGGAGTTATTGAAAAAAATAATGGTTATTAATCTAGAGTTCTTGGAGGTAATAATGATAAAGTTTCTCCTTGTTCTATCATAGCTTTGGATATGCCCATTAAGGAAGACAATTAGGATATGAGAGAGATTTAAAAAGCAGACCCCAAAGAGGTCTCTATCTTGATAGGTTTTGTTATCAAGTTTCCTAAGTGCTTCTGCTCCTGTACCACCTATGTGTTCTTCCACTGTACTATTCCCAAGGACTGAATCTTTTTTTGTAGAAGGGACACAAGCACTTCCTTGAGGTACCTTTCTCAGGTAAAAGGTTCCTCCTACTCTAGAAAAAGAATAAAAGGTAATGATGCGTCCTCCTTGATTCTGAAAGTCTCATCATCAAATACTTTCTCAATTCAACTATTCTACAATGATTTATTGGGGATTTACTAATGTTCCATCCCTCTGCCAGGCACTAGGGAGATACAGATGTGCAGACATAGGTCCTCTTTGAAGGCATTAATAGTCTTTTTGGGGCTCTGGTGGTGTAGTATGTAGGGTATTGTGCTATTAACAAAAGATCACCCATCTCCATTGGTTTGCAGTCAAATGCTTGACCACTCAGCTAAACCCCCTCATCTCCACTGGTCTGACTGGAGAAAGATGACCAGTCTCATCCTATTAGGATTTATAGCCTCAAAAACCCAAAAGAGTGTCGCTGTGAATCAGAGGCAACTCAGGCGCAGTGAGTTTGTGTGAATAGTCTTTCAGAAACACAAAGCTCACCTGTGTGGCCCTAGTGTGATGTGAAGCCGGAAAATGAGGAAGTCAGTATTGACCAGAGTTGTCAGAGAACCTGTATGGAAGATGGGGACTTGAAGTACAGGGAGAATTCATAATCCCGGTGGAAAGAAGGGACAACAGAACACACACACTAGCATCATAATGAGCCAGCTCTGAGATGTGAGAGGAGAGGGTGGAGGGGCCCATGGCCTAGTGGTCTCACACTGCTCAGCAGAGTTCTCCCAGCCTGAGGAATTATGGAAAATGGCCCAAGAATGCACATGTGTCTTTTCTTAAACCACACATTTTAGCCATATGACTCTCCCATGGAGTGTCTCAGACGGTTTTTGATGTTAAGAAGGGCTCTCATCCTCAAAAATCTTGGGCCAAGCTATAGGGCAGTCACCTGTTCTACTTTCTGTCTCACTTGATGATAGACAAATCTTTGGTTGAGAGGCTTTTTTCTCTTCTCATAAGTGCTAAATAAATAGGTCTGCCTATAACCATGAACCTGCCACGAAAGTAAAACCAATTATTGGAAAGCTCACATCTCTAATTTTGCTTCAAGTCACCGCTCACTGGGCAGATCTGTTTCTCTCTCCTTTCCCAGGGTAAACCTACAAAGCAAGGGAAAGTCTGTCTTCCTTTGTTCTTGTCTGTGGGTGCTGAAGAGATGGCAAACAGCCTAGCGAGCACTGGCAAATTTGACTGCTCACCGCTCTCATCCCCAGTAAGTTTGCCAAATAAAATGCAGGATACCCAATTAAACTTGAATTTCAGATCAACAATGAAATTTATTAAGGGTAAGTCCTGGAAGCTGCATATTTAACTGTTCATCTGTGTGCTGTACATTATGCACATACACTAAATTTATAAACATTAATTTCCAAGCATATCTAGGTTTCAATTTTTAAGTATTTCCAGAGTATGTGTGTGTGTGTGGAGGGTGGTCTTTGTGCAGCAGTTGTTACTGTGTACTGTTGAGCCAGAACTGACCCATAGTGAACCCTCCAGTGGGTTTTTCAGAGCATGGGAGAAGATTGCCCATCTTTCTCCTATGGAACAGTTCGTGGATTTGAACTGCTTACTTTTGTGTTGGCAGTACAATTTCTAAATCCAGGATAACTGTACCAGAAAGAATTGGCTGACACCGAAATATTTCAAGAAGTATCCTATGAACAAGAACCCGTGGTAATAAAAAAAGAAGTTCAATCTGCAATGAAGGCATTGGCAAACAAAGCCTCAGGAAGAGATGACATACCAACTGACATTTCAACTAACGCAAGCAGCCATGGACATGTTAATCAGTGAAAACCAAAAAATTTGGAGGACAGATACCTAGCTGACTTACTGAAAGAGGTCCATATTTATTCTCTTTCCCTCAAAAATCTGACCCAAAAGAATGAGGAAATTATCTAACAATATCATTAATATCACATGCAAGGAATATATTATTGAAGATTATTCAAAAAATGACTAGAACAGTGAGTGTTGGTAACATAGTGGTGAGCATAGTTGCCTTCCATAAATGACTAGAACAGTAGTACATAGAGAACTACCAGACAGTCAAACTGGATTTAGAAGAGACTGAGGCACAGTCTCTGATATTATTGCTGATGTCAGACGATCTTGACTGAAAGCAAAAAATACCAGTCTCTATTTGTGCTTTATTGACTCTGCAAAAGCATGACTGTGTGGATCGTAACAAATTGTGGATAACATTGAGAAGAATGGGATTCCAAGGAAAGCTAATTGTGCTCATGCAAAACTTATACCTAGACCAAGAGGCTGTTATGTGAACTGAGCAAGGTAACACTGCAAGGTTTAAAACTAAGAAAGGTGTGCATCCAGATTATATCCTCTTTCCATACTTATTCAATCTGTATTCTGAGCCTATTATTTGAGAAGCTGGACTCTTATGAAGAAGAATGTGGCATCAAGATTGGAAGAAGACTCATCATATATAACCTGTGTTATAGAGATGACACAATCTTGCTTGCTGAAAGTGAGGAGGACCTAAAGCTCTTGTTGCTATACTTGATGAAGAAGTATGTGGCGTTTGAGGCACAATGATGTCCATTTAAGGACTAACGTGCACCTGATTCAGGCCACGGTCTTTTCAATTGTTTGCTATGCATCTGAGAGCTGGACAATGAATAAGAATGACAGAAGAATTGATGCTTTCTTTTTCTTTTTTTTTTTAGCTGTGGTGATGGAGAAGAGTACTGAATATCTCATGGACTTCCAAAAGAACAAAGATATGTTGTGAAGAAGGTGCAGCCATAGTACTCCTTGCAGGCTAGGATAGCAAAACTTCATCTCACTTACTTCAGGCATATTGCTAGGAGGGGCTATTCACTGGAGAGGGACATCATGCTTGGAAAGGTGGAGAATTTGTGGATAAGAGGAAGACTCTCAGCTGGATGTAGTGACAGGGTGACTGTAACAATGCACTCAAGTATGTCAGAGATTGTGAGGATGGCTACAAGGTTCAGATCCCATTGTTCACACTGTCGCTTTGGGTCGTACTTGACTCAACAGCACTTAACAACAACAAGCCACCAGAGCTCCCTTGATTGGCAGTGGACTGCTTATTTCAGCCTCAAGGGAATTGTGAAGAACTATCTTTAAGAAGAGGAGCCAACATTTGTGAATTCCGAGAGGCTCTGTGATCACCTCAGATGGGAAGTAGGGAATACTTGCAAGAAAATGCAGCTGAGAGTTCAGGAAAGATCTTTTAGTCCTAGCTCAGCCTTGTTTGAACGACCTTGAGCAAATTGTTTTGTTCTGGACCTCTTCCCCTTTGCCCCTCTTATCTTACAGATAGTTGAGGACTGACCTAGAGAAGCTCTGAGTGAGGTAATTTCAGAAGAACGTTCTGGCAGGCCATATGGAGCATGAGGCTGCTGAGAGGATTATGGGTGAAGGCAAAAACTACAGGCTGTACTTCCCTCTGCAATTGTGGGGAGGCTAGAGGATGAAAGGTGTGACTGAGGTGTGAAGGCTGTGGGCTTGAGAAGCTTCACTTTCACCCAGAACTAGGCCTGAAGTGCTATTGTTTCAGACATTGATGTAAACCACATTTTCACACCAGAACATGAGGTAGGGCAGGTTGGGTGCCCCACCACTTCCTTACTGACCTGCACACTGGAGCCTGTACATTGAGTCTGGGGGCCATTTCCACAAGAGGCCTCGGAGGTATCTCTTGGCTGAATACCCAGGCTGGATCTGCCGTTGGGGCTTGCTCTCCGGCTGGCTTTGGAAGTGCAGATACGGTTGCCATGCTCTGTTCTGCTCTCTCTGTGGGGACACCAGTGAGAAAACAGCACAGCTGCTGAACCCCCAAGACTCTCATGATGCAAGCTGGTTAGCACAATCTTCATCAGTAATCCGGAGACTCCCGGAAGGTGCTGGAAGGCACCAAAAACAGATGCCTTGGCCAACAGACATAAACCAAGAGCCCGCAAAGCAAAGCTCTGAAAGGCCCCTGCAGATTTGCAGTTGGAAGGAGAAATGACAAATACCAGACCCCATCTTGAGGCCGAGCATGAGAAGGGATAAAAAAGCCTCAAAAGAAAACACATTATCTAGTTCAGCCTGTGGAAATCATTTTAGTACCTTTAAAAGTGGTGCTGTATAGCAGTGGGGAAGCCAGCTCAGCAAATCATTGTCGGCATTCCGTGTTTGTAATGTGAATAACAGCTCAGACAAACCACAGCCGCTGCTCTTGGGGAGCCTGGCCTTCTGAAAGTGCCTGGCTCTGTAGCATTTCATTCCAGCCTGAGAGAATTTTCTGGGACTTGCCTGCCAGAGTCAGTGCCTCTATTCAAAACATTGTGGGAAACAAATATGAAGAACAAAGTCTTCCTCTTGGCTTGGGGTGTATGTCATATAAAGGACTTGCACCCTATTATAATCTTACAAGGTAGACTAATGTTATTACTATTTCAATGGCACAGAAGCCTTCTGAGGACGTGGGACTTGAGGATTGTGGCACCTGTCACCCTTCCCTTGCCTGTAGCAGACATCACTAATCAATTATGGATGCTGAAATGATTATTGTCTCATCATCTTTGTTCTTCTATTAAATATTTTTTAAATTAAGGCAAAATGCATATATACCATGCACAGGGCTTAGGTGTTTAGTTCAACAGAAGTTGACAATTACATACACCTTTGTAACCACCACACAAAATAAGACATAGAACATTTTAATCACCGCAGAAAGTTCCCCTTAAGTCCCCTTCCAGTCAATGTGCTCCATCCCCCAGTCATTATTTTTATTTCTATCATAGGGTTGCTATGAGTTGTACTCAACTTGATGATACCTAACAACAACATCACTATGAATTAGTTTTATCTATTACTGCACTTCATGGAAATGCAACAATACAACATTTATTCTTTTGTGCTTCATAAAAGTGCTTCATTCTGTGTCCCAGCGAGAGCTGGTTTGGGAGATGAAGCCCTTACACCACCACTTGGTTAATTAGCTTATCAAAGGCAATAGCGCAGCAGGCAAGGAGAATTTAGAAATTTAACCAGTTAGCAATTGGGTTGAGACCAGAATGCACAGCTTCAAACTCCACATCAGTGCAAAGCCTTTGTCTTTCAAAATTTAGCACTTCATTAATGGAACAGGATCTGATACCATGACCCATTTTGATGTCAAAACAAGATGTTGTTGTTAAGTGCCGTCGAGTTGTCGACAACTCCTAGCGACCCTATGAATGAAAGTCCTAGACACCTGTATAACTTTCGTCCTTTCTCCAGGTTCATAGGTTTTCCAGAGGCAAACTATTATGGAAGTGGATGCCACTCCTGCTTCCAAGCTTGTTTTAATCAGGGAGCTCTACAAGTTATAAAAGACAATTTCAAAGCGGGTGGCTCTGTGAGTACTAGAAGAAGGAAGAAGTGTAAGACCACAGAAACTGACACTTTGTCACTTGCTAGGATCCTTCTGGTTGGAAGTAGTGAATCTTGACTCAACTATTATAAACCACAAGAAAGTTTATTATCTCACAATAAGCTACCGAAGGTTAGAGAGCTCCAGGCTTGGTTAGCTCAGTTATTCAATGCCTTTCTTAAATCAGCATTTTTTACCTCTTTGAGTGTAGTCTCAAGCACATTGGGATTCTGAGACTGCTACACTAGTGTTATCTCAGCCTCACTCATGGTGAGGTCATGGACATGACCTCTGTAGCACTTTTCCAGCATCTGTGGAACCAAGGCCAGCATTTCTGCACTGGGGCCCATTCCAGTTAACGACTTGGTAACAGAGTCTGACATAGGCTCTGTTGTCATTGATTAGGTACTTTTGAGTCTATTCAACTCAGTGACCCCATGGGACTGAGGAGAACTGCCCCATAGAATTCTCTTTGTTATAAACTTGACAGAATCAGATCGCTAGGTCTTTCTCCTGTAGAGTCACTGAGTGTGCTTGAACCATTAACTTTTCCATTAGCAGTTGAACACTTAACTGTTGGAGCATCTCAGCTTCAGGCCCCACATTTCTTTCTATGTCTGAGTTTTTTTTTTTCCACTTCAGCCTTACAAGCTTGCCGAGGCTGAACAACAGATGCTGGGAGACATCAAGTGAGTCCAGGGAGTGCAAAAATGGAAGAATCGGAAGGATAGAGTTTGTTGAGAAAGCTTAGGAAATCATACAGGAATTAGACCCTTAGACACTTAGGAACTGTCTGACTTGCGCAAGTCCTAGAACCTTTTCATACCTCTCTGTAAAATGAATAACATGAATTTGCTACTAATTTGTGAATGGAGTTCTATGTGTTGTTACAATATTGACTAGGTTCCAGACTGATGGAATAGAAATTATTGAACATATCGTGGGCTGCCAAGAGACCAAACAGGCTTGTCCTAGAGAAGGTGAAATCAGGTTGCTCCTTGGAGGCAAGGATTTTGAAACTCTATTTTACACAATCTGGCCATGTTACCAGGAGGGATTAATCCTTGGAGAAAGACATCATACTTGGAAGGGTAGAGGGTCAGCACAAAGGAGGAAGACCCTGGATAAGATGAGTTGAAACAGTGACTGTGGCAGTGGGGTCAGGTGTGACAGAGATGGTGAAGTTGGCTCAGGATAGGGCAAAGCTCAGAGCCACTGTTCATAGAGTCGCTTTGAGTTGTAGTAGACTTGATGGAACATAACAATAACAACAAGAAAGTAAAGTATGGCAGTCCACTTCTGAATGAAAAGTCTATGGATCTTAGTCCAATCTGCAACAGTGACCATGTTCAGTTCTGTTGTATGTATGGTCACCATGAATTGAGGACTGACTCAACAGTAGCTAAGAGCAACAATCAAGAGTGGAAAGTTGACCTCAAAATCACATTTCACAGTGTTTAGCATATAGTAGGGGCCCAAATTATTGGTAAATGAACAATTAAATTGAGGACTAGTTCCAATTTGGGTTGCATGGCTACTCAGTCCCCTAAATTCTAGAATCTCATTTGTAATACTAACATTATTCCTACTTTTAGAATATTTTGTTAGTGCAGATGAAAGACTCTAATGTAAGTGTATCTCTTGAACTAGCAATTGTAAGATACACAGCAAATGTGAGAGTCTTTCCCCTCACACCTCGTTGCCTCTCTTTCCGGCCTGCCTTTCACTCCGGAGCCTTCAGAGGAGACAACATGAAAGCATTTCTAATCTCCTGGAATTCCTCAGGAGACAGGAGGAGAGTAGGTAGTGAGGAAGAACAACAGAGACCTTTGTCGGAAGCAGGACTGGTCTTGAGCTGTAGCCCCACCCTTACTAATCACATGTCTTGGCGAATTATTCTCTGGCTAATTATGCTCAGTTAAAGGATTAAGTGAGCTGAGTACCTAGTATTCAGTACCTAGTAAGTGATCAGTCAATATTCTTGGTCTTTTTCCCTCTTCAAAGACTTTCCTCCTTCTTCAAAGGTCTTTTCTTCTTCCTTTTGTCTGGGTTTTGAGAGATTATGGTAACTGGTTCCATAATAGCCCCTTTTCTCCTCACATCTGTTTGCTAACCAAACTCAACATCACTTGGTCTATTCTGACTCACAGTGAGTGACCCTGTAACGAAGAGTAGAATTGTCCATAGGTTTTCCAGAGTTGTAAATCTTTAAGAGAGCAGACTGCCTCATCTTTCTCCTACAGAGTGGCTGGCAGGTTTGAACTGCCAACCTTTTGGTTAGCAGTTGAATGCCTTAAACATGGCACCATGTTGTGTATGACAATTTGGAACCAATTCACAGGTGAACCTACAGTGGGTTTTTCAGAGGCTGTTAATTGCATGGGAGGAGATAGCCCATCCTTCTCCCATAGAGCTGCTGGTGGGTTCTAATCATTTGCTCCCCCCCCTTTTTTTTTTTCTCCCTCTATAGAACCCTCAATTTTATAAAATCAATGTAAAATTTCCTAGATACTTGCCTTTCCAGACTCCATTGCAGCTTGAAGTGACTATGTGACCTAGTTCTGGCCAATGGGACATAATAAGACAAAGTCTACAGGGGATGATCTAGAAAGTCTTTGTCTCTGGAGTCAGCTGTATGACAATGTCACACTGGCCTATTTATTTCTACTTTGACCCCACATGTAAACTCTGCAACTTTGGGACACATTTTATGAACATGAGCTAATAAAGAGGAGAAAAAAAGTCAACATGCAAAGGATTGTGGAGGAAAAGATAGAGCTTGTGTGCTCACTCAGTGACATTGGGGAACAATTGGCCAAACATGAAATTTGTACCTCCAAAATCCTTGCTATGAAAGATAAAGTTTCTTTATTGCTTAGAGGTTGGCAGACATTTTTAAAGAGCCAAGCAATAAAATAAACTTGGTCATCTGGTCTTGGTAGCACCTCCTTAACTCTGTAGCATGAAGCAGCAATAGAATAACAATTGTATCATGAAAGCAGCAATATAAGAACGCAAATGTGGATTTGCACACCAATGTTCATAATAGTGTACTTACCATCACAAGAACATGGAAACTGCCTAAATGTCCAACCACAATTGAACAGATTGAGAAATTGTGGTACATCCATACAATGGAATACTATGCAGTACTCAGGAGCAATGATTTAAAAAATTACTACATAACTTGAGAGGCACTCGAGAACATTATGCTGAGCTCCCCATAAGGACAAATACTGTTTAAGATGATTATTGTAGAAATAGAAGATAACTCATAAAACGTGTATGAGGATCCAAGGGGGAGGAGAGGGTAGGAGCAGAAGGGTGAGGTTGGGCAGGGTTGCAAAATTTGATGGATGCAGGGAGTGGTGGTTAAAGGAGATGGGGAAAATCT